TTTCGTGGCGGGTATGCTAGATTTTGCCACTCTATACGTGATTTCACCCTACTCTGATTCGACGAAAACAACCCATGATAAGCCAAGACCATTCAACTAATGGCATCTTTGGACACCCTTCGGCTTGGCTAGTCTCAGAGATTACATTCAATCTGAATTCGTGCACAATACTTATGCATACGCTCAAATACTTCGCAATTTTCCTTGTGCTCACCCCCTTATGCAAAATGGTGGGTCAAGGAAGAGTGCGAGAAGCTTCATGCAAAGGTCTGCACTAACCACATAGATAACATGCCTAGGAGGGTGTGGATGGTGATCAACGCCAAGAGTAGGTGGACTAGGTACTAGAAACGTTGTTAGGAAGTTTGCTCTTTGTCCTGGGAAAAAACTGTCCGGATGTACTCGTTGTATATCTTTTGGAGTATGAGTTAGATCCAATGTACTAATCTAGTTCTCAGTGCAGTGAACGCATCCACCTTGTGCCTCTCCCAACGTGTACCACCGTGCATCTTGCAGGTTTACCATACAGTAGTCTCAAAGCCTAAAAACCCAACTTAGTGCCAAACATCCGGACGGTTTTTTCCCTCAGTGTAAGCTTCGCTCTACCCTCTAGTCGAGGTTCCTGACACAGGAGGATCATGACCCTTTTAACAGCGTACAGGACCGGGGCAGAGCTAGACCGCTCATCTAAGTCTGTGAGCAAAAATGTTAACCAGCGGAGCTTTCTGTGGTGCCATGGCACCAGCGTAGATCTCAGCCTTATAGCTACTGTAGATTGTGCAATAGACGACGAGCGGGTGGACCTCCACGAGATGGCGTCTGCACCAAGGCTGAAGCAGTAGCCCAGCGAGGACCTGAGCATCTCAGCGTCGTCCGCCCACAAAGCGTCTGTGTGCCATATGAGAACCACGGGCCTGCGTTCTCCCAGCACTAGCCCAATGCCTGATGCACTTGCTAGATAACGCAACACCCTCTTAGCGGCCGAACAGTGCTGGGGTCAATGCCTGTCTGTCGCCACAAAGCGAGCGATGATACTAAGAGGGTATGCGAGATCTGGACGAGTGCAAGTCATCAGATACATGAGGCAACCCACCAGCTCTGGCGCAGGTAGATATGCTCGTGCAGACTGCCCTGGAGAAACGCTGTGACGAAGTCAAGCGAGTGAAGCTCGTAGTCGCACTGTGGTGCTACAGTATGTAAAGCAACGGCTGAAGAGTGGTAATCTTTGGGGTCGGGGCGAAGGTCTCGAAGAAGTCAACCCCCTCGCACTGACTGAAGCCTCTAGCAACGTATCGCGCCTTGAACACCGACGGATCTCCAGGGTGGCGCTTCACCTTGAAGAGCCACTGGCCATCGACTACGTTCCCCCAGGTGGGAGGCTGCATCGATGTAGGTGCCGGTGGATTTCTGCGTCCATGTCAGCTATCCACTGAAAGGCCCAGGGTCCTGAAGTCGCCTCAGCATAGGTGCGAGGGGTCGGGATGTCAAGAGAGTCTAGGTCACTTTGAGGGCCTAGCAGTATGGAGCATAGATGAGGAGTGGCCTCGGATAGGAAGGTTAGCTCACACTGCTGGTCCTCTAGGACGTCACTGCCAAGGGCAGGTGCACCCCGGGCGGACTGAGGACAAGCCGGGTTACCAAATTAGTGGCGTAGTCAACGCGGTGGGTATAGGCAAGGTCAGTAACAACAGCGACAAGAGCGTCGAGACCAGAGACGAGAACAAACGGGTCGGTAACAGGGGATGCGAGGACACGAGGAACAAGAGGGCGATCAGCACGGAGGGAGTCAGAGAAAGGAGGCGGGGAGACAGCGAGAGACGACTGAGGAGGCGATGGGAGAAGAGGAGGGGGAGGAGCACAAGACGCACGAGAAAGAAGAGACATAGGGTGAACCCTCGGAGCGGGAGACACGGGACAAGCACGAGAGGGGTGGTGAGACCACTAGCGAGAGGGAGGTGTAGGGTCAGGAGACAACGGAGGAGAAATATGGGAAGAACGAGGGGGGAAACGAGCCAGGGACGAGTCCGGCAGAGGAAACACAGGGCCGTAGACAGGAGGAGGAGGCGTCGCCGGGGGAGGTGCAGGCGGGCGGTTGGGGAAGGAAAGACCGAGGAGGCAAAGAGCGGACACCGGCAGTGATCACTACTGCTGCTGCTGCGCGCCCATACCGGAACTTCCAGCTGCCCCACAGCTACGTCCAGGACTCACCATGACAGCAACCATACGACGAGCACCCGTAGAACCAGCACCCCCAGAACTAGCATCCCCAGCACAAACACCCCCAAAGCGAGAACCCTCCGGAGCATCCGCACCCCTAGCGCCAGCACCCTCAAAATTCATAGACCCCTGCTGCTGTGGCGGCTGCTTCGACGACGACTGCTGTGGCGGCGTTTGCTACTGCTGCAGAAGCGGAGGAGACACCGGGGCCAAAGGGGCTGGGGCCGAAGCTGCAGGCAGCGGACCCTGAGCCTTAGGGTCCCCAGAGTCAGCAATCTCCTCTGCCTGGCCAACCAAGGGAAGGGGAGTGATGTGAGACACATCAGACGGGGCAGGACGGGGAGCGGGAGCTACCGGGGAAGTTGAGAGAAGGAACAAGGGCGGGGTAACCAGGAGACCCCGGTAGGGAAAGCGGGTGTAAAATGGCAAGTGGCGTGAGAGCAGTGTGGTCGCGGAAGAAGTAGATGGACGCACCAGAGTCCGGCATGAAGGAGAGCGCGGCTGTAGCTTCGGCCGGGGGGGGTACTAGCGTGGAGCCAAGGCTAAACAAGACAGCACGTCCTACACCTGACGCAGCAGGTGATCCTAGACTAGACACAGCAGACACACCTAGGCAATGCAACACAGGGTAATAAGGTCGAGACACACTAGAGTCAGCAGGATACATGGCATACATAGCTGAGCAAATCTGATCCCTGTCTTACTCAAAGACCAGCACACGACGGCGTACGAGGCTGTGCCAGTCCAGGGAGGACGGCGTGGGCCCGAAGCGGAGATGGAAGAGTTTGTTGAGGTGGCAATAGCAGCGGGCAGCAGTGTGTTCGGGAGGGACCAGACTGGATCTGGTACTGGCAACTGACAGAGCAAGAGCCGCCACCTGACATCGAGCTGTGAGGGCTTCCTCCGCGTCCACCACCACCAAAGTCGCTGGGCCACCACGGCGGCGGGGCCCCCCTCTGCTGCTGGTGCTGCTGCTCCTGCTGCTGCTCTGGGGCATCAGCTCCCACCCCCTTATCAGCACCTCCTGCACCAGCACCACCTCCACCGTCTCCACCACCCCCGCTACCCCGGCCACCCCGCCCTCCTCCGCGCCCCCCTCGGGGGCGACGACCCCTACCCTGACGAGGCAGCACCAGATCGAGCGGGCAAGCTCAGCAGCGGTAAAGGCCTCACACTCAACAAGCATGGGGGCGTCAGGGAGGACAGTAGGCATGGGGGGGAAAGGCAGCGTACCATCGACGTGGACAGCCTGGGACCGGCCATCCTGGCGCTGACCTTTCAGGTAGCGGCGCAGGTCGGCGAGCCATGCCTCGAAGTCAACACTCCGACCCTCAGCGTCCAAGTGGAGAACGGAGTCCGCCATCGCGCACAGCTGCAGCAACTGCAGGGCGTAGGAGGCGGAAGAGAAGGGAGCAGTCGGGTGCGATGGAGTACGGTGGAGTGCGGTGGAGAGCGGTGGAGTGCGGTAGGGTGCGGTGGAATATGGTAGAGTGCGGTAGTGTGCGGTGGAGCGCGTTGAAGCCGTGCGTGAGGAGACAGCCAGCAGGAGCGCCGACTAAGAGGGGCACCAGGGCCAGTGGTATGTAGGGGCCGGCAAGAGGAGCTGGGGCGGCGCGGCGAGCTGGGGCCGGCAGCGAGCTGGGGCGGCGCGTTGAGCTGGGGCCGCCATCGAGCTGGGGCGGCACGGCGAGCAGGGGCCGGTGGTGAGCTGGGGCTGGCGGCGAGCTAGGGCCGGCGTCGAGCTGGGGCGGCGCGGGGAGCCTGGGTCGGCAGCGTGCTGGGGCCGGCGTCGAGCTGGGGCAGCACGGCGAGCCTGGGCCGGCGACGAGCTGGAGCCGCGCGTCATGCTGGGGCCGGCAGCGAGATGAAGGCCGGCGGCGCACTAGGGGCAGGCGGTGAGATGGGCCCTGCGGCGAGTTGGGGCCGGCAGCGAGCTGGGGCCTGCGGCGAGCTGGGGCCTGCAGCGAGCGGAGGCTGGCAGCGGGCTGAGGCCAGCGGCGAACTATGGCCAGCGGCGAGCTGGGGGCCGCACGACGAGCTGGGGCCGTCGCAGCGAGCTGGGGCAGGCGGCGAGCTAAGGATGGCGGCGTGCTGGGGCCGTCGTGGCAGCTAGGGGCCAGCGCGGCAAGACGGGGCCAACGCGACGAGGTGGGCCAGCGCGTCAGCGAGGGGCCATCGTGGCACAACGAGGTGGGGGCCCATGCAGCACAGCATGCTAGGGACCAGCACGGCAGGCTAGGGCCAGCGCAGCAGGCTAGGGCCAGCACGGCAGGCTAGGGACCCGCGCGGCAGGATAGGGCCAGCACGACAGGTTAGGGCCAGCGCGGCAAGCTAAGGCCAGCGCGGTACGGCGGGCTAGGGCAGGCGAGCTCTACGATAGGCTAGGACAAAAGCGCGGATGGGTGGGACCTACCTATCGTGATACCATCACAGAGTAGCAAAATGACTAGAACAAGGCAGTACAGGAGAGATATAAGGTTGGTATTGAACCCTCTATGAGCACAACCCTATCCAACCTAAAACTTCTACATACAATGCATATATATAAGTTGACAATCTCTACACAAGTTGGTATACGTGTGTAGCTTTAGGGTACAGTAATTCGAAATATGTAGTTCTACTTATTAGGTGATTCATTATCGTATGTTGGAACATAACTTTTTCCAAAATGGAATAAAATAAGGAAGAAAGGTAATAAGATAGGTCAGAGCTGAAGTCGTGTATCGAATCTGCCTTATTGAGTAAGTCACCCGTCTTCCATCAACAGCCTCGTGCTCCTCCACCCTCCCACCATCCTCGATAGTGACGCCATGGCTTCACTTGGTTCGTCGCTGCACGCACGGCCGCTGCGATTAATCTCACCGTGCGATCTCTTGCGACTGCCGCATGGCTTGTCGCATGCGGCGATACCGTCGCGAAAGGGTTTCGCGAAAGGCTTTCAAACTGTCGCCCACGTCTCCGACTCCGCCGCTCCCGCCTATTTCCAGCCTCCCACCGCTATCCCATCAAATGAGGTAACCGTGCGACACATTGCGAAGCTCCAAACACCGTCGCACCACCTCGTCCTCCGTGCTCGCTCGGCGCGCTTCGCAGCAAACTTCATGGCACGCGCATCCCCCTCAAACCCACTCCCCCTCCCTCTCGCCCCCATCTCCTCCATCCTCCCCTTTCCCCCGCTCCGCTTCCCCCCGCTCCCTTCCCCTCCGCTCCCCTCCCCCCCGCATCTCTCCCCCCTCACCTCCCTCATCCCCGAGACCCCCTGATCATGCCGCGTCTTAGCGCCCGAGCCGCCTTAGCGGCCGAGCCGCCTTAGTGCCCGAGCCGCGCCTCGCCACCCGGGCCACCCGCGCCTAAAGTTTTGAGACGCCTCAACACCGGCGCCCCATCCCACGTCACGTCCCCCCCTGCAGCTCTCCGCCCTGGAGCCCTACTTCTGCTACAGGCGCAATCGGGGAGGCATTGGCGCGCACGGGGGTGGAGTAGGATCGACCCCGAACCCCCAAACCTTGCCCAGCAACCCTGCACTGCGCCCTCTCCCACGTCACGTCCCCCCTGCAGCGCTCGGCCCTGGAGCCGTGGAGGCACTACGAGGGGCAAGCGATGGAGCATGGGCACATACGGGGTGAATGTTAGAGGTTCAGAGAACCGGCTGCCAGGGGTGGGTGTTAACCACTGACCTCGCATCCCACATCCCCTAAACCCTAACCCCCCATCCCCCCCTTCCCCTATCCCAATCCCCCCCCTGCAGCTCTCCTCTCTAGAGCCCTACTCTACTACATGGGCAACCGGCGCCGCATGGGCGCATATGGGGCAGGGGTAGGGGTTTTTGAGAATTCTAAAGAACCTCTCACATGGGCACGTACGGGATGGGGGTAGAGAGGGGTCGCTCAAAGAGCCAGATGGCGGTGTTCTGTTTTTTAGAATTCTAAAAAATTAGAGAGGGGTTGCTCAAAGCGCCAGATGGCGGGATGCAGGGGGTGGGTGGATGACCTTGCATCCTACCTCCCTAAACCCTGACCCCCGCCCCCTCCCGATTCCCCTATCCCCCTCTCCCGCCCTGCAGCTCCCCTCTCTAGAGCCCTACTTTTACTACATGGGCAACAGGCGAGGCACGGGCGCATACGGAGAGGAATTCCGGGAGCCAGAGCAAGGCTTACAGGGGGTGATGTGAACGACCTTGCAGGGGTGAGGGTGTCCGCGGCGCGGGACATCGACAGCCGGCAGGGCGGCAAGGTGCTGTTGGAGATGCCTCATGCTCTCCGTACCCCCATTCCCCATTCCAAATTCCCTATTCCCCATCACCCCCCCCTCCCCCCCGGCAGCTCTCATCGCTGGAACCATACTTCTACTACATGGGCAACAGGCGAGGCATGGGCGCATATGGAGTGGAATTCCGGGAGCCAGAGCACGGGCTGCAGGGGGTGAACGACTTGGCAGGGGTGGGGGTGTACGCGGCGAGGGACATCGACAGCCGGCAGGGGGCGAAGGTGGTGCTGGAGGTGCCGCTGCCGCTCATGCTCTCTGTGTCCCGCGACCCGCCCTGGATGTTCCACCCTGACATCGTGCCCATGGGGCATCCTGTCTACGATGTGATTGCTGCTGCTGAAGGCGAGGTGAGAAGGAAAGAGTGCTCTGTGATGGAAAGGTGGTGCTGGAGCCTGTACGTGCTCCTCATGCTCTTCCCCCCTCATCCTCTTCCCCCCTCATGCTCTTCCCCCCTCATGCTCTTCCCCCCTCATGCTCTTCCCCCCTCATGCTCTTCCCCCCTCATGCTCTTCCCCCCTCATCCTCTTCCCCCCTCATCCTCTTCCCCCCTCATGCTCTTCCCCCCTCATCCTCTCCCCCCCTCATCCTCTTCCCCCCTCATCCTCTTCCCCCCTCATCCTCTTCGTGTCTCGTGACCCGCCCTGCACCCATTACTCGCTCGTTCCCCTCCCCCTCTCCGCTCCTCTGTCCCCTCGCATTCGCATTCGCATTTTCTCCTTTTTTTTCCTCCAGGCCAACTGGGACCTCCGCCTGGCCTGCCTGCTCCTCCCCGCCCTGCACTCATTGCGTGCCTCTCACACACTTCCTCTCCCCCTTGTCCCCCTACTCCCCCCCTCCAGGCCAACTGGAAGAACCTCCATCTCACGTGCCTTCTGCTCCTCCCCGCCCTGTACTCGTTGCCTGCCTCTCACACATTCGCTTTCCCCCTTTCCCTCCCTTCAGGCCAACTGGGATCCCCGCCTTGCCTGCCTGCTCCTCCTCGCCCTTCACTCATCACCCGCCTCTCACACTTTCGCCTTGTCCCTCCCTTCTCCCCTTTTCCGCCTCTTCATTCATTCCCCTTCTCCCTCCCTGCCAGGCCAACTGGGATCTCCGCCTGGCCTGCCTTCTGCTCCTCGCCCTGCACTCATCGCCCGCCTCTCGAGGTCGCGAGGATGCCTACGGCTCAAAGCGGCCGCACTTTTTCACCGAATATGCCGACTTCCTGCCGTCTCCGCAAGACTGCCCCTCCCTGCTGCTCTCTTCAGAGGTCGGTTCAGGGATCGACTTACTAGCCTGAGAAGCTACCTCACTGCCCCTCGCCTTAAAAAAAAAAAAAAGAAAAAAAAAAAAGAACTAACGTATTGGTTTGTTAAGGAGCCTGAGGTTTTCCTTGACAAGTCTTGGAGTCCTCCACCACGGCCTTGCTGGTCAACCAGAACCAGAACAAGCCTTGGAGTTCTGGTTATGCGCCTCCTCGACACCACAGCCAGAAGAATGCTGCTGGTCAATAGCTTTCATTATTCTTTAGTGCTTGCTTCCGTGTCACGCGCCCTTGGTCGCTCCCTCCTTGTCCGTCCTTGACTTCGTTTTCCCGTCCTTGTTGCTCCCCGCCGCCTCCGTGACCCTTCTTACCCAACCTTGAACCTTGAATTCCATCGCCCATATTTCCCGGGCTACAGGACAAAGCTCTCAGCCCTTCAGGACGAGGGGTTGGTTGGCTGCCTGTAGATTGTCTCCCCATTTTCCCTCCCAATGCTGCGGCGCGTGACGCGTCATTGTTTCCGCGTGTTTTTCCCCCGACTTCTCTTTCCTACCCTGCAGGAGGAGCTCTCACCCCTGCAAGAGGAGCTCTCACCCCTGCAGGAGGAGCTCTCACCCCTGCAGGAGGAGCTCTCACCCCTGCAGGAGGAGCTTTCACCCCTGCAGGAGGAGCTCTCACCCCTGCAGGAGGAGGGCTTGGAGTTGCATCTACTGTTGCCCCTCTTCCCTTCACCCCTTCTCCTTTTCACCCCTCATCCATACAACCTTTCACCTCACACACCCCCTTCGCCCCTCCACAGGAGGAGCTGGCAGCCCTGCAGGACGAGGGGCTGGCCGTGCAACTGCTGTTTCCCCTCAAACCTCCACCCATTTACCCCTTCACCCCTTCGCCCCTCCACCCATTTACCCCTTCACCACTCCGCCCCTCCACCCATTTACCCCTTCACCCCTTCGCCCCTCCATCCATTCAACCTTTCAACCCCACACCCCCTTCGCCCCTCCACAGGAGGAGCTGGCAGCCCTGCAGGACGAGGGGCTGGCAGTCGAGGCGCGGCGGCAGCAGGAGAGAGTGAAGGCGTTCTGGCACACGCACTGGGGGGTATGTGGGGTGGGGGGGACATTGTTGGGCATGGGGGGCGGTGGGGCTGTGGGGCTGTGGGGGTGAAGTGGAGGGTGGGGGGGTGGGGGGGGGGAGCCACGGCAGCAGCAGGAGAGAGTGAAGGCGTTCTTCTGGAGCACGCACTGGGGGGTATGTGAGGGAGGGTGTGGGTGTGGGTTTGGTGTGGGCATGCATTGCCAGTACGGCAGCAGCAGGAGGGAGTGAAGACCTTCTGGCGGATGCACCGGGGATACGCGGATACTGTTGGGGGGAGAGGGGGGGGGGGAGGGAGGGGGGAGTATGGTGGATATGGAGGGTGATGGTGTTTTCTCATCTCAAGAGAACACAATTCAAGGCATGGAGCAGAGAGGGGCGCATTGGACCGTTCCTCCTCCCTCGTAGTGAATTTCTCGAGTAACAGGGCACTCTGGTCTGGAGGACCCATTCCTCATCTCTCATAACCTTATTTTGAGGCGTCTCAAGATTAGTGAATTTCTCGAGTAAAAGAGGCACTCTGGAGGACCCGTTCCTCCCTCATACCTCTCCCTCACTGCCTCGCTCCCCCCAGGCCGACTCATCGCCTCATCAGCTGAGACGGTTGGCACCGGTCAAGTGAGGCCGGCAGTGGAGTCATTTTTTAGAATGCTCATTTTTTTGAATTCTCGTTGTTGAGAATTCTCGTTTTTTAGAATTCTAAAAAATTACTCCACCATTGCCTCATCAACTGAGACGGTTGGCACCAACCAAGTGAAGCCGACATGCTGTGGGCGGTGGGCGTGGTGCAGAGCAGAGGGGAGCAGAGCATAGGAGGGCGTGACGAGGGAGTTAAAGAGATAGATGCGTTTCTTTCTCAAATCACCCCCTCGCACCACTTCCCTCATTTCCCCCTGGCCGAATCGCCACCCCATCAGCTGCAGCGGCTGGCCCCAAGCGAAACGGACATGCTGTGGGCGGTGGGCGTGCTGCAGAGCGGAGGGGGGGGGGGGGGGTGATATGTTTGTATCTTCTTTTCTTACATCTTACCCTCATTCCCTTACTCCCTCACTTCCCTCACTTCCCCTCTCCCTCCCTTCCCTCTCTCCCCCCAGGCCGACTCATCGCCCCATCAGCTGCAGCGGCTGGCACCGAGTGAAGCGGACATGCTGTGGGCGGTGGGCGTGGTGCAGAGCAGAGGGGGGGTGAGGCACACCCCCATGGGCACAGTCAAGACTGACACCCACATGCTGCTGCCCTATGCTGGTATGCTGCTGCCCTATGCTGGTATGCTACTGCCCTATGCTGGTATGCTGCTGCCCTATGCTGGTATGCTGCTGCCATATGCTGGTATGCTGCTGCCCTATGCTGGTATGCTGCTGCCCTATGCTGGTATGCTGCTGCCCTATGCTAGTATGCTACTGCCCTATGCTGGTATGCTGCTGCCCTATGCTGGTATGCTGCTGCCATATGCTGGTATGCTGCTGCCCTATGCTGGTATGCTGCTGCCCTATGCTGGTATGCTGCTGCCCTATGCTGGTATGCTGCTGCCCTATGCTGGTATGCTGTTGCCCTATGCTGGTATGCTGCTGCCCTATGCTGGTATGCTGCTGCCTTGTGCTGGTATGCTGCTGCCCTATGCTGGTATGCTACTGCCTTGTGCTGGTATGCTGCTGCCCTATGCTGGTATGCCGCTGCCCTATGCTGGTATGCTGCTGCCCTATGCTGGTATGCTGCTGCCCTATGCTGGTATGCTGCTGCCCTATGCTGGTATGCTGCTGCCCTATGCTTGTATGCTGCTGCCCTATGCTGGTATGCTACTGCCCTATGCTGGTATGCTGCTGCCCTATGCTGGTATGCTGCTGCCATATGCTGGTATGCTGCTGCCCTATGCTGGTATGCTGCTGCCCTCTGCTGGTATGCTGCTGCCCTATGCTGGTATGCTGCTGCCCTATGCTGGTATGCTGCTGCCCTATGCTGGTATGCTGTTGCCCTATGCTGGTACGCTGCTGCCCTATGCTGGTATGCTGCTGCCTTGTGCTGGTATGCTGCTGCCCTATGCTGGTATGCTGCTGCCTTGTGCTGGTATGCTGCTGCCCTATGCTGGTATGCCGCTGCCCTATGCTGGTATGCTGCTGCCCTATGCTGGTATGCTGCTGCCCTATGCTGGTATGCTGCTGCCCTATGCTGGTATGCTGCTGCCCTATGCTGGTATGCTGCTGCCCTATGCTGGTATGCTGCTGCCCTATGCTGGTATGCTGCTGCCCTATGCTGGTATGCTGCTGCCCTATGCTGTTGCCCTATGCTGGTATGCTGCTGCCCTATGCTGGTATGCTGCTGCCTTGTGCTGGTATGCTGCTGCCCTATGCTGGTATGCTACTGCCTTGTGCTGGTATGCTGCTGCCCTATGCTGGTATGCCGCTGCCCTATGCTGGTATGCTGCTGCCCTATGCTGGTATGCTGCTGCCCTATGCTGGTATGCTGTTGCCCTATGCTGGTATGCTGCTGCCCTATGCTGGTATGCTGCTGCCTTGTGCTGGTATGCTGCTGCCCTATGCTGGTATGCTACTGCCTTGTGCTGGTATGCTGCTGCCCTATGCTGGTATGCCGCTGCCCTATGCTGGTATGCTGCTGCCCTATGCTGGTATGCTGCTGCCCTATGCTGGTATGCTGCTGCCCTATGCTGGTATGCTGCTGCCCTATGCTTGTATGCTGCTGCCCTATGCTGGTATGCTACTGCCCTATGCTGGTATGCTGCTGCCCTATGCTGGTATGCCGCTGCCCTATGCTGGTATGCTGCTGCCCTATGCTGGTATGCTGCTGCCCTATGCTGGTATGCTGCTGCCCTATGCTGGTATGCTGCTGCCCTATGCTTGTATGCTGCTGCCCTATGCTGGTATGCTACTGCCCTATGCTGGTATGCTGCTGCCTTGTGCTGGTATGCTGCTGCCCTATGCTGGTATGCTACTGCCTTGTGCTGGTATGCTGCTGCCCTATGCTGGTATGCCGCTGCCCTATGCTGGTATGCTGCTGCCCTATGCTGGTATGCTGCTGCCCTATGCTGGTATGCTGTTGCCCTATGCTGGTATGCTGCTGCCCTATGCTGGTATGCTGCTGCCTTGTGCTGGTATGCTGCTGCCCTATGCTGGTATGCTACTGCCTTGTGCTGGTATGCTGCTGCCCTATGCTGGTATGCCGCTGCCCTATGCTGGTATGCTGCTGCCCTATGCTGGTATGCTGCTGCCCTATGCTGGTATGCTGCTGCCCTATGCTGGTATGCTGCTGCCCTATGCTTGTATGCTGCTGCCCTATGCTGGTATGCTACTGCCTTGTGCTGGTATGCTGCTGCCCTATGCTGGTATGCCGCTGCCCTATGCTGGTATGCTGCTGCCCTATGCTGGTATGCTGCTGCCCTATGCTGGTATGCTGCTGCCCTATGCTGGTATGCTGCTGCCCTATGCTTGTATGCTGCTGCCCTATGCTGGTATGCTACTGCCCTATGCTGGTATGCTGCTGCCCTATGCTGGTATGCTGCTGCCATATGCTGGTATGCTGCTGCCCTATGCTGGTATGCTGCTGCCCTCTGCTGGTATGCTGCTGCCCTATGCTGGTATGCTGCTGCCCTATGCTGGTATGCTGCTGCCCTATGCTGGTATGCTGTTGCCCTATGCTGGTACGCTGCTGCCCTATGCTGGTATGCTGCTGCCTTGTGCTGGTATGCTGCTGCCCTATGCTGGTATGCTGCTGCCTTGTGCTGGTATGCTGCTGCCCTATGCTGGTATGCCGCTGCCCTATGCTGGTATGTTGCTGCCCTATGCTGGTATGCTGCTGCCCTATGCTGGTATGCTGCTGCCCTATGCTGGTATGCTGCTGCCCTATGCTGGTATGCTGCTGCCCTATGCTGGTATGCTGCTGCCCTATGCTGGTATGCTGCTGCCCTATGCTGGTATGCTGCTGCCCTATGCTGGTATGCTGTTGCCCTATGCTGGTATGCTGCTGCCCTATGCTGGTATGCTGCTGCCTTGTGCTGGTATGCTGCTGCCCTATGCTGGTATGCTACTGCCTTGTGCTGGTATGCTGCTGCCCTATGCTGGTATGCCGCTGCCCTATGCTGGTATGCTGCTGCCCTATGCTGGTATGCTGCTGCCCTATGCTGGTATGCTGTTGCCCTATGCTGGTATGCTGCTGCCCTATGCTGGTATGCTGCTGCCTTGTGCTGGTATGCTGCTGCCCTATGCTGGTATGCTACTGCCTTGTGCTGGTATGCTGCTGCCCTATGCTGGTATGCTGCTGCCCTATGCTGGTATGCTGCTGCCCTATGCTGGTATGCTGCTGCCCTATGCTTGTATGCTGCTGCCCTATGCTGGTATGCTACTGCCCTATGCTGGTATGCTGCTGCCCTATGCTGGTATGCTGCTGCCATATGCTGGTATGCTGCTGCCCTATGCTGGTATGCTGCTGCCCTATGCTGGTATGCTGCTGCCCTATGCTGGTATGCTGCTGCCCTATGCTGGTATGCTGCTGCCCTATGCTGGTATGCTGCTGCCCTATGCTGGTATGCTGCTGCCCTATGCTGGTATGCTGTTGCCCTATGCTGGTATGCTGCTGCCCTATGCTGGTATGCTGCTGCCGTGTGCTGGTATGCTGCTGCCCTATGCTGGTATGCTGCTGCCGTGTGCTGGTATGCTGCTGCCCTATGCTGGTATGCTGCTGCCTTGTGCTGGTATGCTGCTGCCCTATGCTGGTATGCTGCTGCCCTATGCTGGTATACTGCTGCCCTATGCTGGTAGGCTGCTGCCCTATGCTGGTATGCTGCTGCCCTATGCTGGTATGCTGCTGCCCTATGCTGGTATGCTGCTGCCTTGTGCTGGTATGCTGCTGCCCTATGCTGGTATGCTGCTGCCCTATGCTGGTATGCCGCTGCCCTATGCTGGTATGCTGCTGCCATATGCTGGTATGCTGCTGCCCTATGCTGGTATGCTACTGCCCTATGCTGGTATGCTGCTGCCCTATGCTGGTATGCTGCTGCCATATGCTGGTATGCTGCTGCCCTATGCTGGTATGCTGCTGCCCTATGCTGGTATGCTGCTGCCCTATGCTGGTATGCTGCTGCCCTATGCTGGTATGCTGCTGCCCTATGCTGGTATGCTACTGCCCTATGCTGGTATGCTGCTGCCCTATGCTGGTATGCTGCCGCCCTATGCTGGTATGCTGCTGCCCTATGCTGGTATGCTGCTGCCCTATGCTGGTACGCTGCTGCCCTATGCTGGTATGCTGCTGCCTTGTGCTGGTATGCTGCTGCCCTATGCTGGTATGCTGCTGCCTTGTGCTGGTATGCTGCTGCCCTATGCTGGTATGCTGTTGCCCTATGCTGGTATGCTGCTGCCCTATGCTGGTATGCTGCTGCCCTATGCTGGTATGCTGCTGCCCTATGCTGGTATGCTGCTGCCCTATGCTTGTATGCTGCTGCCCTATGCTGGTATGCTACTGCCCTATGCTGGTATGCTGCTGCCCTATGCTGGTATGCTGCTGCCCTATGCTGGTATGCTGCTGCCCTATGCTGGTATGCTGCTGCTTTGTGCTGGTATGCTGCTGCCCTATGCTGGTATGCTGCTGCCCTATGCTGGTATGCTGCTGCCCTATGCTGGTATGCTGCTGCCCTATGCTGATATGCTGCTGCCCTATGCTGGTATGCTGCTGCCCTATGCTTGTATGCTGCTGCCCTATGCTGGTATGCTGCTGCCCTATGCTGGTATGCTGCTGCCCTATGCTGGTATGCTGCTGCCTTGTGCTGGTATGCTGCTGCCCTATGCTGGTATGCTGCTTCCCTATGCTTGTATGCTGCTGCCCCATGCTGGTATGCTGCTGCCCTATGCTGGTATGCTGCTGCCTTGTGCTGGTATGCTGCTGCCCTATGCTGGTATGCTGCTGCCCTATGCTGGTATGCCGCTGCCCTATGCTGGTATGCTGCTGCCATATGCTGGTATGCTGCTGCCCTATGCTGGTATGCTACTGCCCTATGCTGGTATGCTGCTGCCCTATGCTGGTATGCTGCTGCCATATGCTGGTATGCTGCTGCCCTATGCTGGTATGCTGCTGCCCTATGCTGGTATGCTGCTGCCCTATGCTGGTATGCTGCTGCCCTATGCTGGTATGCTGCTGCCCTATGCTGGTATGCTACTGCCCTATGCTGGTATGCTGCTGCCCTATGCTGGTATGCTGCTGCCCTATGCTGGTATGCTGCTGCCCTATGCTGGTATGCTGTT